CATTGGACTAATTCGAGTTCGATTACACTATAATTGACCGAGATTGTACTATTTTGACTTCAATTGGGCTAATTCGAGTTCAATTACACTGTAATTGATCGAGATTGTACTAATTGGATCTCAATTGGACTAATTCGAGTTCGATTAGAATATAATTACAAGAGATTGTACTAATTTGACTTCAATTGGACTAATTCGAGTTATAAATTAAATCTATTTTTATTTTTAAATTTGACTTTTTATTTAAAAAAATTAAATAAAAAATAAAATACAAAATAAATGGATTTTGAAACAGATTTTGTAAACGGATTTTTTTAAAAAAATTATTTTTTTATACAAAAAAAATTTATATAAAAAATAATTTTTTATACAAAAAAAATTAAATAAAAAATAGTTTTTTTAAAAAAATTATTTTTTTTAAATAACGAGTGTAGATTCGTTATACCATACAAAATAACGATTGTACAATCGTTATTTTGAAACGACTGTATGTCGCGGTAGCGACATGTGTCGCGGGCGCGACACTGGGCCCTGTTCTTGGTCGGACAAAAAATGTTGCTAGGACGTCGCGGCTGCGACGAACGTCGCGCCAGCGACAAGAAAGTTTTATTTTTTTTCAAAATAACAAATGTACATTCGTTATTTCATAAAAAATAACGACTGTACAATCGTTATATTGAAACGACTGTATGTCGCGGTAGCGACATGTGTCGCGGGCGCGACACTAGGCCCTGTTCTTGGTCGGACAGAGAATGTTGCCAGGACGTCGCGGCTGCGACGGACATCGCGCCGACGACAAGCAAGTTTCATTTTTTTTTTCCAAAATAACGATTGTACATTCGTTTTTTCAATACTATAACGAATGGATAATCGTTATAGTTGTTTCTCGGGAACAAAGCGCATTTTCTTTATGTTTTTTTCGATCGAATTACTTGATTACTCACGTATATTCATGGTACGTGACATTGGAACGATAGTTTTAAGGTGTTGGAACAAAATTATTATTTTTTTTTTAAATAACAACACTTGTTCTTTATTTTTTGTGTTAAAATGGTTAGATCATGTAAAATGTTTGTGAATTCGTAATTTTACATAAAAAAATGACTCCCCGGAATTAAATCAAGTAACATTTCATTGATGTTAATCAAAAGTAAAAAAAAAAAAAACTGCCAGGCCGCNCGGCGTAACACGGAACAAAAATTGAGTAGTCCAGTACGAGTACCCCATACCAGCCCATTTTCGGCCCATATGTGCAAAAAAGGCCCAATATTTAATTAAGATTTAATTATTGGTTGACTTGGAGATTTGGATTTTGGACTCCACAAATAAAACCCACGTGCTGGAGAACAAGCAATGGAGTGTCACAATTAATTGAAGGCAACCATTATTTATTCATCGCTTTGGAAATAGAGGGACATTAACACGCAGGCCCTAGGAGGAAAGTGGAAAAACCATTAGGGAAATAATTATTTTGAAGAACATGCAGGCCTTGGGAGTCTTCATTGGAGGAGGTTTGGAAATAGTTAAACTCTTGGGCAGCCACCAATAATTATTCACGCAGCAAAGGGAAAAGAGTGCAGCCAGGCATATGCGGAGAGAAGGTAGACAGATGCGAGGAACCCGACGAATTGCGGAGGGAAACCACACCTGCAAGGATAATTTTTATTCTCTTTCTTCTTATATTAGAGTAGATTTTATTTCTAATTCCAGAGAAGTCGAACCCTACGACTTGACAATGTTTAATTGATTTTCGTGGTTGATAATTTTACTATCTTTTTGGAATTGTGCGTGTTATTTTGAATTATGAATTTAGATTTGTCTAGTCTTATTTAGATTAATCAGATTAGGTTTTCATCTCTATAGCTAGAGCTAAACCCAAGGTTGTCAAAATCGGACCGGTCATACTGGTTCAATGGTCACTGGTCCGACCAGTGGTTGAACCGGTTGGACCGTTATTTAATTTATTAATATTTTTAAATATATATAATAATTTATATAATATAATTTATATATAAAGCTTTGTTAATTAAATATTAAGATAATTTAGAACATTCAAATACTTAAAATAACATAATAACTTATACATGTATTTTTTATTCTACTGAAATAAATTAAATATATATTTTTTTATTTAAATAGCAACTAATAGTAGGTTGGTTATATATAAATTTTTAATTTTTGAATATTACAACTTAGTTACGAGTCACACTTTGGTTGGTTAATTTACAGAACCGAGTGAACGCAGCCCAAGGAGGGTGTACTTAGTTACGAGTCACATAAGTAATGCAACTATGAGTCACACTTTGGTCACCATTGGCTGTAAGTCGATTAAATGTTACCATTGGATTCCACATAAATTTCATTCTGTGAGCCCAGCCCAAGGGATATGTATCTAAGGCCCATTTAATAGTGTCAAATATTTAATAAACTAGGCACATCAACACTTGGTGATACATCCCACATCGAAATGACAAGAAAAGGAATTCTGCTATTTAATTGATCACTTTGGGATGCTCAATCACAAGCTTCCACATTCAAGTGTTGAAAGCGTTTAACCCGTGAAACCGGTCCCGGTTCACCGGTTCTTCCGGTTTTGGACCGGTTTGGACGGTTTTGGAACGGTTTGAATGAATGGCGGTTTAATGGAGCGAACCGAACTGGGATGCAGGCTGGTTACCGGTTTAACCGGTTAAACCGGCCGGTCCGGTCCGGTTTTGATAACATTGGTTAAACCTTCAATCCTTAATTGTTGTTGTTGTGTTTAATTCATAAGTAGCAACCGAGAGCTGGTAACTGTCGAGAATAACACGACGTAATTAAGTGAACCACGCGGTTGTATTTACTACTTAGATTAGTCTATTTTTCTAGATCTTAAAGCGGCTATAGCATTAAATCTAGAGAGCGTGTTCTAGACTAAACACAGTAAGTCAAGTTTAACCGAAGAACGTTACTAGGCTAAATAAATAGTAAGAAAAAGATTCAGATAGCAGAGTGTATTGATATCTAAGGCTAGTAATTTCGGAAGATAGTGAAACTTGATGTCATTATTGATTAGCACTGTTCTAAAAATCGGCCTAGGCGGCCGCCTAGGCGCTAGGCGGTGCCCGGGCACCTCCGATTTGTACAAATCGGCAAAAAAAATCGGCCAGGCGGCTAGGCGGCGCCTAGGCGGGCTCGGCGGCCAGGCGGTTAGACGGCGTCTAGGCAGGCGTAGGCGGACTTAGGCGCTCCTAGGCGGGCTCGGCGGCAATTTTTCAATTTTTTTAATTTTTTTTTTTATTTTACACTCTTGCTAGTGATGAATTTGTCACGTGGGTTGGTCATAATTTAATAGTGCTTTTAAATAATTGTAATGAGATTGATTAATATTGCAACACTTATTTTAAAATGTCATAAAGTGATTATGCTTTTAAGGTAAATGTTGTTGTATTAATAAATAAGGTGACACTTCTTAAAAAGAGACGTTATTTAAATACAGATTTATAAAAAGCGTCTTCATATGGATAACTCGGTGACATTTTTTTATTAAATGTCATAATTTATTTACACTTTCAAATAGCGTCTCAATATATATTAACATTACAACACTTTTCTTAAAATTGACATTATTTGATTACATTTTTAAAAAGCGTCGTTATTATTTTATCTTTACAATACTTTTTAAAAAGCGTCGTTATTATTTTATCTTTACAATACTTTTTAAAAAGCGACGTTGTTATTTTAACTTTATAACACTTTTTAAAAAGAGTCGTTATTATTTTAACTTTATAATGCTTTTTAAAAAACGTTGCATTAATTCTTGTTTTAATTACACTTATTAGAAAAGTCACAATATGTATGTTGCTAGAAGTATTTTTGTTGTAGTGTCAAGAGTGACAAAAACTCGGCAAAGTCAACATTTGTAGCCCCTGTAGGACTAAGGAGTGCAATATGAAAAGTGAATTAGGAGATGAGTTTCAGTTTCAATTTTTGGCTTGAAGTACTAATAAACTATTACTAGACAACAATACGAATTAAATTACTAGTCAAAGTGACTGTCGAGCTCACCAGCGTTTTGACTAGCAAATTGAGTTTGATTATTTTATACTATTGAGCTGACCGAGTCGAGTTCGACTGTAGCTGGAGTTAGGTTGAAATCAAGTTGAGTGCAGCCCTTTGAATAGTTTGGAGACCCATGCACAACACAAGCATGACTAGACATTTTTTAATCAGTCAGTTGGCTTTTTAGCCAAGTACAAATACAAAAGGTGAAAAATAGTCATGTTTTGTAGAAGTATTAGTTTTTAGCCATTTTATCACTTAAAAAGACAACTTTATTCTTACTTTAACATATGACGACATAATTTTCTTTAGCATTTAAAAATTTACTAAAAAATATTATTTTTATTTTGAGTTTTCAATTCAATATTTTTTATTTAATTTTATTCATCGTAGAGTTCGGTTAATAGTATTAAATATTATATTTAATTATTCAATACATTTATTACTCTTTATCATAAAATACACCATTTTTTTGTTAAATTAATGACAAGAAAATTATATTATACTACTAGATATGAGTCTAATAATAAAAATAATTTTATAAAAAACAAGAAACAATAATATCACGTTCATAGTACGTGCATCTTCCTAGTTCACAAAAATGGGATACATTATTTTATTTATAATAGGTTCATATTTTCAGCAAGTCTATTCAAACCGTAACATAAAATTATGTAGACTAGCCTGTTGTTGGAAAATATAATAAATTTGAAAGGGATCTCCCATATGGAAGTTAATAAATTATGTACGAAAGTTAGAGAAGTTGGAAAATGTCTAGTCAATAATTGCTGGTTCATACAATTCTCTGTCCCACCAGAATTTATTTCTGCGTCATAACAAACACGACAACCATAATCACACAAACACACATCTTAACTTTATCAAAAACATTTTCACCACTTTCTCTGCATGAATTTCCTAGTTCTGTCCTAAAAAAAAAATAATAATAATTGCTTCCAATGGCGGCTTATGCAGCTCTACTTTCTCTTAAACATACCATAGAACAAATACAACTCCATCCCTGCCCTCCGATTTCCCTTCCCGAACCACAAATCGAGCCTCTAATCGAAAAAGTTACTTTCTTGCTACATTTTCTAGAGAGTTATTCAGTCGATACAGATGCCCTCGAGAGCCGCATGGCCAATGCTGCTTGTGAGGCAGAGGATTTAGTCGAGTTGCATATCGTGGAAAAAATCGAAACCTCGCATAACACGAGTCTCGCCAGTTTCTTTAAGGCCACAAGCATTCGCTCGAAAGACGAGTTTTTGTATCAAGGCTTACAGAAAGTGATTCAAGAATTGGAGTCAATAACTATTGAGCTGAAGGAGATGAAACCAAAGGCGGGAGGAGAAATCCCGGACGAGGATTGTTCATTGCCCGCTTTTTCCGGTTCGTTTATCAGAAGATCTGCTTCTTCGGCTGATAGAAACTTAGTCGTCGGTTTCGATGATGTCATGGTTGACGTCATGGAGAGGCTGACCAATCGAAATTCAAGCAGCCGAGTCATCCCGATTGTCGGCATGGGTGGCATAGGTAAGACTACTCTTGCTAGAAGTATTTATGCTAATCCGGTTATCGTGCAATACTTTGATGTTCGTGGGTGGGCCACGGTTTCTCAAGACTTTAGTGTTCGAAAAATTCTTCTAGAAGTTGTTTGCAGTGTCGAAACCGCGGGGGACAATGGAAAAAGATTGTTGAACAAGATGAGCGAACAAGAATTAGGCGAAAAATTGTACAAGTGTTTATTGGGAAGGCGTTATTTAGTTGTGATGGACGACATTTGGAGCATCAAGGCTTGGAACAGAGTGAAGAACTATTTTCCGGATAACAATGAAGGGAGTGCGATATTGTTAACCACAAGGCTGTCGAATTTGGCTTCTGACATAAGTGGCTCTCGAGGCCTTGAGATGGACTTTCTAGACGAAGACAAAAGTTGGAATCTTCTTTGTAAAATTGTGTTTGGAGAAGAAGATTGCCCTCTCGAGCTAGAAGCTTCGGGCAAGAAGATAGCCGAAAATTGCAGAGGCCTTCCTTTGTCAATTACCGTGATCGGGGGGCTCTTGGCGAAGTCCGACCGGACGCTAAAACACTGGCGACACGTGGCAGAAAATTTAAGCTCGATCGTTAATTTAGATGACAACGAACGCTGCTTTAGAATATTGCTTCTAAGCTACAACCATTTGCCTATTCATTTAAAGCCGTGTTTTCTTTACACGGCGGTGTTTCCGGAAGACCACGTCATTCGTGTATCCAAGCTCGTTCGACTATGGGTTTCCGAAGGAATTCTGAAACCAATTAGTGGAAAAAGTTTGGAAGTGACTGGAAAAGAGTATATAAACGATCTTATAGACCGAAATCTCATTCTTAGTCATAGGAAGGTCTACTTTGCCGATGTTAAAAGTTGCACCATACATGACCTCATAAGGGATCTATGCATAAAGCTAGCTGAGAAAGAGAGGTTTTTATGTGTGACAGAAACAAGCAGCATTCGCTTTTGTCAAAGCTGGCTTACTCAACGACGAATTAGTGTACGAGGAAACACATCAAAAAGGAGAATTAATTCCGTGAAATTCGCATCATTTGCCCGTTCGCTAATATGCGATGGTCACGAGAGGGTCGTGCCGATTCATCCTTTTAGATTGTTGCGTATTATTCATCAAGTCGATGCATTCGATTATTATACTTATCCGAGAAAACGGAGAACATATTCCCTTAAAAATATTTTTCGGCAAATTAGCCTACGCCACCTTGAGATTTTAGCTAAACCCGACTCCAAGCTTCCATCCTCCATTTACAACCTTTGGAATCTCCACACGTTATCGGTCGATAGCAGGGGTGATGATTACGCGCAACTTCTCGACATTTGGAAGATGCCTCATCTTCGACACGTCAAGTTTTTCAGCCTCCGTCTCACGGATCCTCCTCCTCCCACGACGAGGGGCGATACCGTCATTCTGCAGAATCTGCAGACGCTCAAGTCAGTAAAAGATTTCAGGTGCGGCGACGAGGCGGTTAGAAGGATCCCTAACATCGAGAAACTAAAAATAACATATTGTTCCGAGGGATCTCCGGAGTCGCCTAGCTTTTACCGTCTCGACAATCTTTGCCGGCTAAGTAAACTCGAATCCCTTCACGTACACTTCACCCTATGGCTCGACCCTTTGCTCGGGCAGCCAGGCAGGGGCGAGTTGGCTCGGAGCCTCGTTTTGCCTCATTCGCTCAAGAAGTTGCGTTTGGAAGGCACGGGTTTCGGGTGGGAAGAAGTGGGGATGAAGATAGGTCGTTTGCCGTGCCTTGAAGTGCTCAAACTAGGCAATAACTCGGTTTCGGGGCTCGAATGGAAAACAGTCGAAGGCCAGTTTCGGAGCCTAAAGTACCTACACGTCTCGGAGTGCTCTGGTCTCGAGCGCTGGAGGACAGAGAGCGGTCATTTTCCTTGCCTCGAGCGGCTTGTTCTTGCTAATGGGTCTCTCTTAAGTGGTTCTCTCTTATTAAAGGAGATTCCTTGGGAAATCGGAAATATACCGACGCTAAAAAGGATAGATTTGATTCGATGTAACGACTCGGCCATTATGTCTGCTAAGGAAATGATGAAGGAACAAGAGGATCTCGGGAACGAAGAGCTTTGGGTGAGAGTTCAGCTCGGGAAGGATAATAAAGTGGAGGGGGCAAGCTTGGCTGCTCCCAACTTTCATGTTTTTGCTTCAGATGGTTTGTTTTAGTGTTGTTGGTTAGTGATTGGCAATCTTGTGTTGGAACTGTTGTTAAGCAGCTTAGTATAGTAGTTTCTTTTGTGCTCCCGTTTGGTAAAATATATTTTGCAACTTCGTCGGTTGGGACCTTGCAATTTGTAGTGTGTATTTTACTTGATAAAATTCTAACATGAACATTCATAGCTTGTAATCTCATCTATATCTTGACCATCCACACATTCATTTTTACGGATGATTGATGTACTAGATGTTGTAAATTATATGTTCATGAAGTTGGCATTGAATTTGATAAAAAAAAAGGGTAAATACTATTGGTTATAAAGTATGGGTGAGAATGAGACGATTCAGTTCTGGATCGAACTAAAAATTGGATATCATCAAAATCCAATCTTGAGAAACGTACAGTATGATTCGTAGATCTTTATGTTTCGGTTCGAGATTTCGGGACTGATATTTGTAGATTTTTAATTATTAAATTAAAATAAAAAATTTAATGTGAAACGTGTTTTAAAGTTCAAAATCTAATTATAACTAACTATCAGTCTATTTTATTACTTTATACTTTTGTGCATCTCTTTCTTGAAGGTTTTTGTTTAGAAATCATCCTTAACAAACTAGGAAAAAAAAAATGAATTATAATTTTAGTTAAGACATCCAAATGGTGAGAATTTAAACTCCTAATAAATGTATGTGATTTTAGAAAATTATTTTTGTCATTTTTAAGAAGAATAATAAGAAATATATTATACTTTAATTTTTGGAATATAAAATTGTTGTGAAGTGGAATTGCTATTATTATATGGTTTAACTATTATTAAAACATTCAATTAATCTTGGGATAAAATTGACATAAATAAAATGGCAAAACGAATTTGAAATTATAGTTTCTATCTTAATTTTCGTCCTTCGATTCGATACGATATGAGATGGTTCATTTTTGTCCATTAAGAATATTTATGAAGTTTTCGAAACCCTGCTTGGTTCAGTTTGCAGAAAGTCAAACGGTCAATAATTTTGATTTGTAGTGATTTCGTTTATGTATTCAACTAGTACGAATCCCGTGCGATGTACGGGTAAGAAATATTCATTAATATTTATAAATTACAAATGCTCATTAAATACTATTTATAAATTAGAAATATGGAATTAATATTTAATACAATTTACCTATATTAATTTGTTGAAAATGTTATACGAAATTTAAATTGTGCAAAATTACATCAAACATGTCTATTTAAAATTAGTACATGACTCGCACGGTGCAAGTAACTTATAATACGTTACATTATATTTATTTCAAAATATGTGTCATTTTAAAATTTTTATTCAGAAATTCGATTTGACTACGATTTGATTTAAGTAAAAACAAACCTATATAGACACACACACACACACACACACACCAAATAATTTGATATGTTCCAAGCACATTTACAAAGAAGAATTGACCATAGTATTATCCAGATTTTTCTTTCATTAATATTCAGTAAAATGTTAGCAATATGAAAAAAAATAATAATATTGAGCTACCATAATATTGGATCAGTATATAATATACCAAATAATTTGATTTCATACTTAATCGATAAAATACAAGAAATGATATTCAGTTTAACCACGAAATTAATTGCACAACGTACAACACATTTATTATAGATAAAAATAAAAAATACCCAAAAATAGTTATTAAAGAATAATTAAATAGAAACTACCAATAACACAACTATTTTAGAATAATTTTATAAGAAATTATAATTAAATAAGTCAACCGAATTTACATGATATTTCCTTAATTATCTACGATTTGAGCCGTTAAATACAAAAAAAATAAATAATATTTATTAAATAATATTTAAATAAAAATTGTCATTAACACAATTTTTTAGAATAGATTTTTAGCAAACTGCATAATTAATTACTGTTGTCGATATTCTATAATTGTAGTGATTATTTACAAATTAAATAAATCAGTCGAATTTACATAAATTGTGTAATTAAGGTATATTAAAAATGTATTTCACAAAAAAATTACACGAAAAATATAAAAATAATAAATTATACAATTTAGTTGGAAATTTTTGACCAAATCACATAATTGATAGTGCAACCGAAATTCCCATATTTGGATAAATCAGCCAATTCACATGATTTGAGTAATTAAGCTATCTTAAAAATGAATTTACCATAAGTGATTATTTGAAATATACCATAAATTGTTAAATTAATTTTAGTAATTAAGGTATCTTAAAAATGTATTTATATGGATTAATTATTTCCTTAAATAATGAGCCACAATTTCCATAAATAATTATTTAAAATATACCATAAATTGCTAAATTAATTTACTAAAATAGTAAATAGATTTTTTTTGGAAGGAAATAGTTACTATTTAAAAAATAGGGAAAATTTTTATTTGCCTCCCCAAGTATGCAGTTTTTTTCACTTTGCCTCCTAAACATTATTTTCTATCAATTTACCTCCTGAACTTTACGATTCTTTTCCGTCCCCATCCCCCTCAAACTTCCGTTTATCCCTCTGTTACTTCCCATCCCTAATTATTTCTTTCTTTCTTTAAACCCTAACATTCAAATCCCTACAATCTGAGCTCCAAAATTCCGAAATTTTGACCCTTCACCCTACCATTAATCTATGAAGAAGAGTGTTGTGAAGAAGTGAAATCATGTGGACACAAACATCTAAATTTATTATGGATGATTTTTGTCATTGTGGGAGGAGTGCTGTTAAGAAGACTTCTTGGACTGACATGAATCCAGGAAGACGCTACTCAACTTGCGATAAATTTTGGGTAAGTCTCAATTTGCTTATTATCAGTGTTGAAAAGCTATAAATTAAGAAGGGAAAATTTGAAAACTTTATTGAAATCTTATCCATTTTTCACATTTTTGTATGATTTTTTTTTTATGTTGTTACTCGTTTTGTAAACTGAAATTGGTGATGCTTTTTCCCTTTTTCTTGATAATACTAGGAAGTTGGAAGTTGTACATATTGTTATTGGATTGATCCACCGATTTGTGCAAGGGCTCGGCAAATTATTCCTGGTCTTGTGAAAAGAGTGAGCATGCTTGAGGGTGAATTAGGTCGTGGACGTCGCAGGGAGAAAATATTGTGGCTTGTTTTAATTGTTTCATGGTTGTTGATGTTCTTCTTTAAGTAGAAGTTGCAAAAGTTGTTGAAGATGTGTAGAAGCACTGAATGAGCAATGATTGTAGCTGTTTCTTGATGCAATGAAGTAGTGAACAATGTGTAATGAATGTGTATCTGTTTCAGGGATTGAATCCTTTGTGTAATGCAATGAAGTCCTTTTCTTCTTTAAGGTGATGTTTGTGTAATGGTATAATGGTGTTGGAATTCAATGATGTTGGTAATCCTTTGCTCTAATCTAATGCAATGGTGTGAGGATGTTGGTATCTATTTTCTGTATCTGTATGTCTGTGTGCATGAAACATGAACATGGCATGAGTTTATGACAGCAAAATATAATGGACTTAGTTAAACCAAAACCTAAATGCATGTTCTTAGAGTCATGACAGCATGAATATATCTATTTTAAGGGAATGCATTCCCAAATATACACAAAAACCTCAAATACACATTAGTACAGATAACAACCTCAAATATACACAAAAAACCTCAAATGGCACCATGTATCATCCTCATGAATATTCAGAAACAATCATTAAGGTTTAAAGTAAGTAAACTTGTGAACTCAAAAGTTTAACCAATTGCATTGCATTAAAATCCCAAAAGTTACACCAATCAGATACATAATCCCAAAAGTTACACCAAAAGCTTCACCGCAACCACAAGTGTTTAAAACAATATTACACCAATCAGATACATAAGCCAATGTTTTAATAGTTTCCCATTCCAAAACTAGCTTCAACAAAACTAAAAAGAACCAAAACAAAAGTTACAATGCCTTGAATGAATGAACTAGGAACTTGTTGTTGGATTGCTTTCCACATTTGTCTTGGAGCTTCTTTTTGCTACAAGTTTTTTTCCCTTTCCAATTCCATTGAATGGCCTTTTCTTGACCTGAAACAAAACAAGAAAAGTGAATGGCTTAAAACACATTGACATGTTTATTTGACAGACAACAGACAAAATATAACAAAACAAAACAAATTGTAAAGGAAAGAAAGGAAAAATGCCTGTCCACTAGGGGCACTAATCTCATGTGCAGCTGGGATTTCCCTTTCCCTTTTATCTTTAGCATTTGGACAATCTCTAATATTATGATTAGCACCTCCACAACTACTGCATTTCATGATAGCCCCTTTTTTCCTTAACCTAATTTCACCTTCCTTTTTCTGTGTGTGAGAAGACTTTTGGGAAAAATTTTCATCTGCTTCTTTCCTTCTGGCATACTTCTTGGGTCTTCCTGGAAGCTTTTGGGACACTGGTGCCATGAGTGGGGTGACATCTACCTTGGACCATAGATCAACAGCATCTACTGCTCCCATCATAATGGAATATGCCTTCATGAAAGTATTTTTTTTGTAGCATATACCCACATATTCTTCTGGCTTATGCCCAAGGTAATACATGGCACTAATGGCATGTGAACAAGGAATTCCATTCAACTGCCACCTCCTACTATTCCATGTTTTGTCTCCAAGGTGCACTTTATTGGTTGAGCCAAAACACCCCTCAATCTCAAACTCATCTTTCCCATTCCAGTGTGTTATGAAGTCCACAGCTTTTTTCTTATGCATCTCATGTATCTTCTCAATCNTTTGACAAAGGTCCCTAGTATGCCTCAACATCATATCATTTCTTTTATGCATCCTTTGCATGAGCATCACTCTAATAAATTCTATCATACTTATAATAGGCTTTGATCTAGCCCTCAAAATCATGCTATTGAAACACTCTGACAGGTTGTTCAACAAAAGATCACATTTAGAATGAGTGCTGAAATGAGATTTTGACCATTGAGAAGGGGGTTTGGCAGCCAACCAATCATATGCATCATGATCTCTCTCTTTCAGTTCTTTCATTGCATTTTCAAAATAAAAAACCCTGGTGGCCCTTGCAGCTTTCCAAAGCAGGTTCTTAAGGGCTAGGCCTTTATGTGCAAGCTTAAAGTTTTTAAACAAATGCATGACACAAAACCTTACCTCAGCACCTGGAAGAAGTTTATCAACTGCCTCAACCAACCCCTTCTGTTTATCTGACATGATAGTCCAATGAAATGGATTTTCAATCCCCAAATCCTGCACTAGCAACTCAATAAACCAACACCAGGATTTTGTTTTTTCCTTTTCAACCACAGCATAAGCAAAAGGGTAAACACAATTGTTTCCATCAATACCTACTGCTGTTAAAAGAACCCTGCCACATGCAGTTTTAATGTGGCAACCATCAAGAAAAATAGTTGGCCTACAACCCTCTAAAAGTCCTCTCTTTAATGCCCCCCAACAAACATAAAACCTTTTAAACACTGCATGGTCACCCTGAAGCTTGCATTTAATTTTTATGTTTGTCCCAGGGTTGGTTTTCCTAAGCTCCTCTGCATAACTCCATAACATGGTGTATTGCTCAACATCACACCCAACACCCTTTGAAAGCACAACTCTTTTAGCCTTATAGAATTGCCGACTATTGAAAACTAGAGATAAATCCCTTTGCAAGATGAACATCATTAACTTTATAGGCTAACTAGGGTTTGTCCATATTTCTTCTTTGTACTTTTCAGCAATAAACTTGGCATTAGCATGTGACACCCTTTGTTCCCTAGGACACTTGTGCTTACTTGACAGAGTTATAATGATCATTGTGTCTTCATTCTGACTTTTAGAGGCATAAACTAACCAAGGACAAGATTCATGCTTACACCTAACTTGGACCTTATTTTTATCATTAATTTTAAATATATGTCCTTCCTTGTTTAATTGCATGATGTCTAACTGCTTTTCTGAAAGTGGCAGTGTCACTAAATTGCATTCATAGTTCAAAAACAGGGTTGACCATGTCAGTACTAGGATAAAAAACAGGACCACCATTATGTAGTTTAGATGAGTTATTTGGCTTGCTACTTTTCTCTGCAGGTTCAGGTATTTGCACTTCAGGATTATTCAAGTCTACCCCAACCCATTCAACCTCTTGATCAACAAGCAAGTCAAACAACTCATCATCATCAGAAGCCCGTTCACAATAACTATCCAAGAACCTTTCAGAAAAATTAGAGTCTGACCCAACAAATTGATCATCATCACTTTCATTTTAAATCAGATAGCACCACATTAACATTTAAATCTATATTTTCTGCATTCTCACCAACAAATTGCAAGGGTTCATCTACTGTTGGTAGATCATGAGATGGACTACCCACAAAATCTTTCATCCACTGACTATCTTGATCCACCATTTTTTCATGCTCAACAAAAACCCCAACCATTCTATTGACATCAAGAAAATTCTCCATATTTAGGACATCAGAGTCATTTTCAAGCAACATTAAATCAAAACAATCATTTACCCCACCTTTACTGCAATGAAAACCAAACACTTCTTTCATTCCTACTTCATCAAACATACCCTTCAGTTCAAGTAATGACAGCTCATCAACATTGCAGTTATCTATATGAGCAACATCACCAACCAAATAACATAATTTTTCCAAATTTACAGACATTCCAGAATGGTGCAATCTGATAGTGAATAAATCGGATGAAGAGGAACAATCTCTGTCGGAGGCTTCGCCATTGTCACCCTCCTTTCGAACTTTCCAGCCCATGTGAGTATTTCAGTCTCTGAAATGAAATTTTGAAGTGATTTGAAGGGCCAAAATTTGGGAGTTTTGGAGCTGAGTTCTTCTTCTCTCAACATTTAGGGTTTAAAGAAAGAAAAATGGGGAATTTGGGGATGGGAAGTAACAGAGGGTTAAACGGAAGTTTGAGGGGGATGGGGACGGAAAAAATCGTAAAGTTCAGGAGGTAAATTGATAGAAATAATGTTTAGGAGGCAAAGTGAAAAAAAACCGCATACTTGGGGAGGCAAATAAAAATTTTCCCTAAAAAATAATCAAACTTTTTTATATAGATATAGATTTGGTATTCTCCACGTATCATGATCATGCCAATAGCAAAGTTATTTTTTTTTTTATTTTTTTATTTTTATTTTTTTTTNAAAATAACATTGTTCCAATACAAGCGAGCCAAACCCGAAAAAATAAAAATTGAGAGGACACGCTAAAAGCAACCTAGAACACAAAGAACAACTCGAGAGTAACTCTCTACTAAAACCTCTCCACTGCTCGAAAGCCTAGAGAAGTTATATATAATAACCAAAATACAGGACACCAACTCAAAACACAGAAACTAACACAGAAACCAAAATACAGGACACCAACACAATAACAAGACCTAACAGAAACTAACAAAACAGACTAGAAATCATGAGTGATGCTGCTGGAATTCCAGCCATTCTTCCTGAGCAGCTCTAATAATCAGATGGGCTGGGATGGATTGGCCTTGGAAGATCCAGAGATTACGGGATTTCCAGAGTCACCAGAGCTAATAGGTCGTGAGTTGGATATGAGCTTCTGCTATCTCTGAAGATCCCATAGTGCATATATGATTCCACCAATATTTGAAAGAAGTGACAGTGCTCAGTCCAGCCCAAGTGACAGGTGATTTTTCCCAGACCATGGCTGCTTTTGGGCAGTGAAAGAGCATATGTTCAATGGTTTCTGGCCTCTCCCCACAGTGACTAAAACCAATATCCAAGTCCACTCCTCTTTTTTCCAGATTAGTTTTAACAGGTAAGGAACCAGATAGACATTTCCATAGAAAGTGTTTTACCTTGCCTGTTATTTTCAGCTTCCAACATTTAGTAAAAGCAGTGGATTGAGTAGTACCTGTATAGGAGCAGCATGGTATATCAAGGGCTAGCAGCTTCTGCTTGGACAAGAAGGAGTAAGTGCTTGAAACTGAAAATTCTCCTTTGCTGCCAAATTTCCAGAATTGCCTATCTTGCTTTCTTGGTTTGAGTGTTTTGATTTTCAGGATGGCAGCACTATCTGTATCATTGAACAACTGAGAAACAAGCCAGGCATTCCATTCTTTTCCTGAATCAGTGAGGAGTTCTTTAACCCAAGTGATATGGCCCCTAGCAATTTCCAGCATGTGAGGCTTTGGACTCAACAGGGAAGGAACCCAATTCACTTCCAGTCTGGTAGATTCTCCATTCCTGATTTCAATGGCAAAACCTTTGGCAAAAGTGGGGACAACAGCAAGCCAGTTTGACCATAACCAAGAGCATTTTCGAGACTTCTGAGCACTAAAGATAGAGCAGTCAGGGTAGTATCTATCTTTCAAGATTCTACTCACCAAAAGTTGGGGATTAGTGGTAATCCTCCAAAGCTGTTTGCAAATCAGAGCAGTGTTAAAGTTCTTGATATCAATGAAGCCTAATCCACCTGCTTCTTTGGGGAGTGTAAGTGAGTTCCAGGACCTACAGTGTATACCTCTTGTTTGGTCATCTCCCTTGCTCCACCAGAAGTGGGAGCACAACTTTGATATATTACAAATTTTAATTATGTTTTACCCCTATTTAGTTATTAGTTATATAATTCTTGACCAATAAATGTAATGATTATTATCACAATTGAATCTTTCATCAAGAAATGTTCACTTTCTTTCACGTTACTGATGTTTACAAGCATAGGGCATATCAATTGATTAGATTATTATAATTTTTTAACTGTCTCATATTGCCAAGAAGTTTTTTTATTTTTTTTAATGAAAAATACTAGTTTACCACAAAAAGTTCCTAATGATGAATTCAGAAATTATCCTTTTTTTTTTCAACGATGAAGAACTTTTATTCCAAGTACAGACACCCCTTGGATTACATACTTAGCCAAGAGGAAGAATGTAAAAAATATTAGTTTGGCAATGTCGGACAAACATAAGTGTTTTATAGAAAAATTTCTTATTAGACAAGCAAAATAAATTAAAAGGAAGTTTTATATTTATTTACTTGTGAATTAACTAAGTTTCTACTATTTATTATTAATAATAATTGGTGTATGTATATATATATATATATATATATATATATATATATATATAT